AATTTTGAATGAATATATATAGATAATGAAGCATTGCTTGCAGGCACTACTATTCATCTCCACCCCTATGAAGGGGAGATGGTTGATGATTACTGATAAGAAAAAAAAATAGCAATAGATGTAACGTTTTTTATTTTGGTAAACAAGTTTTAACTTTTATTGTCATCTTTAAAATATTTTCAAAATAAATATTTGTATCCGTCCCATATATTACTATATTTGTTTTAATAATGATTATGTTAAATGAAAATAAAAAACGTGTATATATACATTATATTTATAAACATACTTTTTAGCAAACATATATATATGTACTTTATATTTATAAATAAATTGATAATAAAATTTTTGAAAATGAGAACTCATTGTAAACAGGATTTCTTTCAATACTTGTACCTTCTAAAACCTATTTCATTCCTATCCAAATAGCCCACTTCGGCAATACGATTCCGCACTTTCAATACCAAGATTGAATTCCCTAACTCTCCAACTTGAAATACACCACTTCGAATGAAATACCATTAATGGCTTCCCTGCCTTATCTCCATGAAAGTCTCATTTTGCACAATTCCCGCATCAAAATGGCCCTATATTCGCATCGACTTGAGAATTCTCATAGTCCTTTACTTCACCAGGATTTGAATAGTCCTCTTAGCCAAGATTGAAAGGATGTCAATCTCCCACTCTCAGTCTGGTATTCGAGAAGGAGCACTACCTAACTGAAATATCTCACTACGAAACTTCAATATAGAACTTCTAAACCAACAGACCCTGAACTCGGGTAGTTGCCTTCCCTTCCTAGTCCTAGATCCGAGTTACTAGCTTTCTAGACCGACGGTTGTAGGCCTCCCTCAGGTCGGCTTTAGTCGAGCTCCCCAACTCGCTCGACGGTACGACCTCTCCGACTAATAGACTTGATACCGTTCCGTTCCGCTCATGCTCCTTGAGAGGAAAGAAAGAGCTCGACTGTTAAGGAGAGGAAGCACTCCCTCTACTACCCCGCAAATCTAATGATGGACATGCAAGCAGTCCCGCTTATGTCAAGGCTTAGCCAAGTTTGAAGCCTCTCGAATGACTCAGCTAGTTTACTAGACCCTCTATCCGACCCCCTATCAAGTAAGGAGAGCTAGGTTGTATGACTTCCTGCCGGTCTTTGAAGCTATTAACTAATCTCTAGGGCAAGTAGGACTAGTCTTTATGACCCTATTGATTTAGGAGTTGTTGCAACACTGGTTGTTGACGGTTGTTAGCGAGGTACGAGCAGGAGAGTGGCTAATGTCCCTCAGCCCTTGAAAGCCATTAACTAACCTTAAGAGCAATTATGGCTGGTCTCTCTCTTGGGTTAGCCCGCTTCTCTCTTTTAGGAGGAGGGAGACGACTCTGCTAATTCTTTATAAGTATGCTTAGGAAGCAAGGTTTTTAGGGCCTGGAAGGAGGGGAAGCTCTTCTTGGGCTAGGAGGGGAAGGGATGGTTGTATGGCATCTATGAAAGCATTGACAACATTTCTCCTTCGATATTGCGAAGGCAAGACGCTCTATTGGCTTAGGTTTAGTTGGTACAAAATCAAGTTCAAAATGGATAGGAGAAATTTGATTGACTGATGGTACAATGTACTTTTGTACAAAGTCACTTCTCAATTCGTATTTGGTATACGAAAGTGCGGAAGGCAAGCCCTTCTATCTGACTTTGGCTTCTCAATTGCATATACCAAAAGACTGTTGCAGAGGAGCAGGATCCGAAGCGGTGGCTGCTACAAGAATGGAATATTCCATAGCATTCGCTTCTGAAAGAATTTGAACTAATTGTGCCACAGTTGAGCGTTTCTGTCCAATCGCTACATAGACACAATACAATGTCTCACTCTCAGAGGTGCTCCTTGAGTTCATTTGCTTTTGGTTTAATATGGTATCGATAGCAATAGCTGTTTTTCCAGTTTGTCGGTCCCCGATTATAAGTTCTCGTTGACCACGACCTATAGGAACCAGGCTATCTACCGCTTTTAACCCAGTTTGCATAGGCTCGTGCACAGATTTACGTTCAATAATCCCAGGGGCTTTCACTTCGACACGTCTTCGCTCGTGATCGCTTAGAGCCCCTCTTCCATCAATAGGTACTCCCAAGGCGTCGACCACACGCCCTAGCATAGCCTTTCCCGCAGGGACATCCACAATAGAGCCAGTGCGCTTGACAAGATCTCCTTCTTTAATAGCAGTATCACTACCAAAGACAACAATCCCTACATTCTCATTCTCAAGATTCAAGGCTATTCCTTCACACCGCTGGCAAATTCAACCATTTCCCCAGCTTGAATCTCGTTCAACCCATAAACACGTGCAATCCCATCTCCAACTGAGACCACTCGACCAATCTCATCCACTTGAAAATTCGTGTAAAAGTTGCTAATTCTACTTTCTAATAGAGTCGTTAGTTCAGCAGCTCTCGGAGAGAATTCCATGATTCTATTTATTTTGGGCTATATATAAGGGGGAATACCGCTTTCAATTTCAAAGAGCTCTATTTCCGCCTAAGATCTATTCTTATAGATCAGATTCGAGCTTGTACTACTAGAACTAGGAGTTGAGATAGCGCGGAACACCAACACAATCCTTTGTTAAATGTCTGCGAGCTCCTTCTTCTTTCGTGAAAGCATACGAGTCGTTATGTTAAGCATCTAATCCTAGTCTTTATGTTATCTGTGTTAGAGGACTTAGATGTCCCTCATGTTGAACAGTCTGACATCAAGTTGTTAGGACCTGAGTCGCTATGCGAACACTTAACACAAGACTAAAATCAAGCTAGAGTGGTTTATGAATCAGTCATCAAGGATCTTAGCCAAACGGTGACCGGCTACGTAAGCACTTTGGGCGCAGGTTTCTCGATCGGACTTGACGAATTGTCATAAAGACATCACTCTGATTTATATATATATAATAAAATTGGATTATAAAATAAGATTCAATTAATTAGAAGCATTCGCAGTTTTCAGTTCGTTTGTCATCATCTAAAAGAAAAAGAAAAGAGAAAACTAAAGTCATTTTGAAACACAAAACAGCTATAAGTAGAAGTTGTTGAAGTAGAAAATGCTTGCTGCTCGCTTAGCGCACGGATCATACGCTATCTCATCACTCACTAACGCTAGCGAAAAGTGATCGAATAAAGCATTTGTTCGTACAATACGCTCTCGAACCTCACGCTCTATCACGCACGGAAAAGAAGCTGACTCAAAGAAATCGGTCACAAAGCTTATTTTTTCGGGTCAAGAAGCTCTCGAAAAGACCTGATCCTTCCCTAAAAACCACTAAACACAAAGTGGTTTCGCCGTATCCTCTGAGAACGTTATAAGAGAAAGACGGCAAAACAATGCTCACACACGCATTTCACGCTTCAAGAACCAAGAAAGACTCAAACAAACTCGCTCTCGCTTAATCCGCATATCTGGAACTCTTTGATTTGAACTACTCCGAATCCGGCGATGAACTCACATTTCGCCCCTGGGGGGACTCTTGCTTCTGTCTTCCTCTTTCTGGCATCTGGTGGAAATTCTCTCGATCGATCAGTTTCTTCTACTCTATGCCTACTAAAAGCTTAACCATGCCCTACCACCAAGAACAGATTCTCGCCATCTATTTAGAGGAAGAACTCATTCTTCAACAAAAGAAATCGCTGCTCCTAGTCCGACAGTTCGCTCCGCACCTTAAGAGAAAGAGTTCTGGCATACTACTCTATTATGATACCGGGGGGACATCACTACTTTGAGAGTTAGGCCTTTATTCTGCTGTGCCTGGTCATGAGTATACTGCTTTCCTTAAACCTATGTAGTGAGTCATGTAGGTGGCGTGTTGAAATTAGGACCATACATTGGGCGACTTTTCTCCTCATCGCTAGCCTGTTTCCAAGAGGGGGAAGAGAAGGTCTTGCAAGTTGGAGAGCATATGAGATTTATCCATCGCAGCATTGCATCTATCGACTGAACAAAGTAACTTTCGAAGTGGACCGGGAAGGAATGCGAATAGGTATTTCAATTGTTGGACTAAATGAATAGGCAAGGAAGGCAAGGCACTTGACTGAAAGGTCCTACCCGACTCATTCTTAGGACAGGCTTAGCTCTAGCTATCTAAAATGAAGAAATTGTACAAGGGAGAAATCCTATTTCACAAAGTAACTTCTCAAAGGTCGAAGGCGTAGTATCGATTGCTTGTGTTGGACTACCTTTATAGGATAGATCTGATATACTGTTAGGTTTTGGTTGGACTGCTTTGTACGGAATTCACTGAGATTGACTTTAGATATCGCATTTCCGGTATAGCATTTACTGTTCGAGATTTCCGGTATGTAATTGACTCGTATATAAAGAAAGAAAGTCTTTCAATTCCTAGTTCGATATTCCAGATATTCCATTAGAATGACTGATGTTGGACTAGCTGACTCCCTAAGCTTTGCCGTATTGCATTAGAAAGTGGGGAATTCCATCGTCTTTGGTATGCGAATTTCAAGCTGCTACTGCTCCGATAGCTGCTTTAGAGGTTGCTTAGCCGGTATCTGACTGAACTAGCTGGTTTAGATTTCATTAGTTGAAAGTCTCGCACTATTTACACTATTTCAACAAAGACTGTGTAAAATGGATATGATATAAGGGAAGGATTGACCTGTTGGTTGACTTCTCAATTGAGAAAAGACTGGAATGAAACTGGCAATGCTCTCTTCGGTTTTCATCCGGTTGGCAATCCTATTTTCGGTCCTAGCTGAGTTCTGTCTTAGCTTTACGGCAAGGGGATAGGCTTAGCCTATTGAATGGGGAGAGCTAGGCTGCATTCACCATCGAATAACGGGGTAAAAGGCTACTTTCAGATCTCTTTCCCTGTAGTCGTACTATGACTTTCTGAGGGATTGAACTCTAGTCGTACTATTCGATATCATCTAGCAAAGAAGTCAGCTATGGGCAAGACTTGGGGCGGGCCACCAAAGCGGGTTTAGCCGGTTAGAGCTCAAGAGAATCGCTTCACGCCTTGCTTGCAAGAGCTAGACAGCAAAACCATTCCTAGCAACCATTGCTTTCGAAAGAGCAACCATTTCAGGGAACATCTACTTGAGAATTTTCTATAGTGAAAGCCTTTTTTCCAGGCAAAGACCCCACTCATAGGGTGAAGGCAGCCATCACTGGAGAATAGCTCCTAGCCTTATTCTAAGAAGGCGCATGCCATCAAACGAAAGGAAGGGCCCAAACCGTTAGGGAGCATATGTTTCCAATAGCAAGAGTCAGTCCAAGCAGCGGAACACGTTACCCATTTCAACTAGGGAAGTTTCCAAACTCAAATTCGAAATGAGATCTTCCATCTTGATTAGCATGGTAGGTAGGCATGAAAGATGAGGCAAAGAATGTTCCGCATCTCCCCGGCCAGAAGCTTTCAAGACAGGCAAAGGTAAGGGGAAAAACAGTGAAGAATGACTTTGCTAGGAGTTAGGACCTTTCATCCAATACATGTAAGGGGATTTTGATCCCAATAGAATGCTATTTTACCTAGGTAAAACCCACGTTAAGGATACCTCTTTATACCCTTTCTATTATTCAACAAGGAACAACCTGGCAGAGTGTCCTGAGATAACAAGGAAAAAGTGAGAACGCCCAGTGACGAGAGTGGCGACATACGAGGATCTAACCTCGACCAACGAGAGCGTAGCTGCTCGACCTCAGACATAGGGATTCTCGGACCGGAACAATGGGATTCGCTCGACTGAAGGGAACGATGCGTAGCGCCATAGGGAGAACCTAGCGTAGCAGAGCCAGTCGCGACCAAGTAGATAGCTCTACGCCTTTGCCGAACGAACGAAGAGCTACCTAAGTACGGTTAAAGAAAGTGAAAATGATAGGTAAACAAAAGAGAGAACAAATGCGACAGAAAGCGTCAGAGCTTCGAAAGCCTGAAATTGAGCTTGAAATTGAGTGTCCTTGAATTGAGCCTGTCGTATCCTTCCCAACCCAAGACGACAAGGCGGTAACAGAACTACGGCAACTCCGGAACGCATCATGCGGTTTGTTTAAAGGCATGGGTTCCGGTCTAGGAGAACTCATGCGACTATTGGCGTTGGGGAAGCCATGCGTTAGGTAAACCAACCGCACATTGCAAGCGAAGGAGTGAAAGCTACTCGACTGTAATGTAAGGAGAGGACCTACAACGAGTTGCGGTTGCTTCGCAAGCAATACTCGACGGTATAGCGCATGCGTCTCATCGTCTTGGGAGCACTCGTAGTTGTTTGAGTCGTTGCGTTAGGGCAATACAACTACGAGAACCAGTCGTCCTAACGCTACTGTCAAACCTACTGTAGTTGTCGTTATTACCACTCGTCGGGTAGTTGTTCCGTAACACCACTAGTCGTAGACTACTAGTCGTTCCATTGTTGCACCACCCAATGTGTGTTGCGTAGTAACTGCCTAGCTGTCTGTTACGTTGTCAAACCCTTCCGAACAACCACCTATGACGCAAAGACTACGAGTGACGGACAACTAAACGACAACGAGTGGTTGCTTTACCGTCTTGTTCCGTCGCATGTCGTTCTTCCGTCTTTGGGAACACTAGTTGTCTTTGGTTTGGTAAGGCCGACTCGATGGTTGCGGAGCAAGGTTACCAAGGGAGTGGTTGCTTCGCAAGCCTATATATTACGGTCTAGCGTTATCGTCGTTGTGGCGCTTGCCGTAGTGGTTGTTGCTAGTAGTTAGGACCACTACGAGTTGTCGTTACCATATTAGGTTGTTAGGACCACACCACTCGTCGTTATAGCACTAGTCCTTTTTTTTGTTCGGCGTTAGGGGGCCCCACGAGTCGTCGCTAGCGTCATCGGTTGTTTTGAACACAGATCGGTCACACTACTGGTTGTTTGGAACGCTAAGGCCGAAAGGCAGGCGGTCGGGAACACTAAAGGCGCTTGCTCTGGGCGCTAGGGGCCGTTGCTCACGCAAGCGAAAGGGTGAATTCTTTCCCGGTATGCCGCTCCGCGAGCTAGGAGCGAGAACTACTAGAAAATGGTGAGATCATTAGATCATTAGTGAAAGAAGGACCAACGACGATCCTATCCTAAAGGAGAAGAAGGAGTAGGAGGAGTCAGTTTTCTTTGAAGATCGAGGTTTTAAGAAATAAGGAATGCAAAAAAGAGTAAGAACTACTCTACTTTCTTTATTTCTCCTTGTAGTATTAGGGGTCTTATTGTATTTTATTGGGGTCAGCAACCAGAGAAGATAAAACTACCCTAAAAATCCCATTTTAGATTTGATAGAACTGCCTTGCAACCAGGTCTTAGTGAAAGCAGACATACTATCTTGAACAAAACTAGCATTAAGAACACCTTTCAAATAAGACCAAACCTGAGAGGCAGTTTCACCTTGACAAAACAAATGAAGTAAAGAATCCTGTTGACTTCTAATGCAGAAATTCAATTTATAAGGCATTTGAAAGCCCATGT